AAAGGTGGATTGTTTTCTTCCAATTTGATATAATCCGGCTTAACCAATCTTTGAGGGCATCCTCCTCCAAATGAGTAATATTTAGTCGGAAGTAGCCCTGCCCTATATCCGACTGTACCTCAAAGCGGACTGGTGAGCGGTCAGACAAGGAGGAGACTTTTACCTCCGCCGACAAACAACTTTCCCACGGGGTTCCACACATCAATACATAGTCCAAACGACGGGCAGACAACGCCCCACTTGATGGTCCAAACCAGATATATCCAGATAACTCCGAGTTTAGGATCCTGTATGCATCTGTCAGTTCATTGGTTTCCTTGAATTCATGGAGAAGCAGGGAGTCCTTGCACAAATGTGAAACAGTCGGAGAGTCTAAGCCTGGATTTAAAATTGTATTCCAATCTGCACCTAATATCAAGTTTTGTGTATCAGGCAGTAATTCCAGCAATTCAGCTATGAATTGAGTCCGTTCTTTATAATCTACTGGCACATAAATAGACATGAAAGTCCATGGTTCGGAGTCAATTTCCACTTTAACCCAACACCATCGCAAACGTCAAAAGCGGAATTTATGATTTCAGTAAGAAAGTCCTGGCGGAAAAGAATGGCCGTGCCCCCTTTAGTGCCCACTGCTGGAGACTACAACTGGGTGCCGGGCCACCATTGTCTCATTTCACGAATTTCATCCTCATTAAGCTTGGTTTCTTGAATAAGGGTTTATCTTAATGATACATCCAAGTACGCAGGCGAGCCCTTTTGTGTCTGTTGTTCGTGTCCCCGAGGCCCCGGACATTCCAGGTGGCGATAGGTAATTTATTTCGCATGGCTGTTTATGCGCCCGGTTGCGGAATGGATCCCGTCAGAAGTGCCCAGCTGAGACCCAAACTTTTTCCTTCTGCCCCCTTTTTCTACAGCAAGAGACTTCGGGGTGGACCAGTTCAGTCTCAATGTAGAGTTCAATTGGGGGGAAAACAGTGTATTTCTGTTCGATGACTGAGACAGATTTCGTGCCAAGGTATCCGCACTGACACTGTCTAGCAAATGAATGCCTTTCAGATCTGGGTTTTCGTGATTGGCCAGCTGCGACAAGGGAACATAAGAGATGTTTAACTCTCTGAGTTGATCCTTGCTCAGCGGGCGGGCGCCCAAAAGGCATAGAAGAACACCAACTTCCGTCCTGTGGTATTTGAGATAAGATGACGGGTAAGTTTCACCCCTGGGATCAATCGACTGCGGAACTTATTCTGCACCAATTGTTTTGCAGACATGGCCAGTGAAGTTTCCAACAGATCCTCTGTCGTTGCCGTGACCGGGAAGGATCTGCAGCCATTCTGATCTCTAAAGACCAGAGCCATTGGACCCTGGTTAGATGGGACACAAAAGATTGACACTCCATATTTAGAGGCAGACTCCCCTTTGCCCAGGGTTTCCACTCCAGGACCTTCGCTGAGTGCTAGTGTCCTGGATTGGGCTACCTCTCCACCATTTGACGCCTGTACCAGGTCCTCTTGCTCGTGGTCCGCCTCTGAACCATCCAAAGAATTGCAGTGTGTGGGGATTTCCTTGTCGGTCTCTGTTTTCCTGTCTCTCTTTTCCCACCTCGGATTCTTGGGAACTGAAAAGAAAAAGCACAAAAAAAAAAAAAAAAGGGGTAACTAGGGCGCAGTCACGAAAGCAGTTTGTAAATGCAATTGGAACTGCCTGTTTGCAGTCCAGTACCGTCCCAAGTTTCAACTGCAGTAGAAACACTCCAAAACGGCAGTTTGAAATGTATTTTCAAACTGTAACCTTGACAGCGCCCAAGTTTTCTCAAAAAAAAAACACAACTTCCTTACCCACTGAGCTAGGCCGCTGGATCCTTGCGCTGTTGTTCCAAGCAGTCGGCCTTTTTTTTTTTTTTTTTTTTCAGTCGGCTTTTATACCGTGTAGCTGGGCTGCCACGTGTTGCCCGGTGCTTGGATGAGTCGTTGCCTTGCTGCCACGTTCCTGTTGGGGTGTGGCCTGGAGGCCGTCCATTTATTTTATTTTAATTTTTTTTTTCATGAAGAGGCCGTCCACTTTCAACAGGGGTTAAAAGAATCCATTGCTCAAGGCATCAATATGGAGATTCTGCAGACTGTCAATCTCAAGCATTTCAGCCTGAGGCTCCTGGTAAGCCGGTGGACGTCCGACGAAACAGTCTGTA